CTCTAGCCTGGGAAACAGAGCAAGACTGTCTCAAAAAAAAAAAAAAAAATGATCTTACAAACAGCTACACATTTCATGTGCGAAATAGTTCCAGGGGCATTTTCCACTCTTAGCCCACTTTACAGTTGAGTAAACATGCAGAAAGAGGTTAAGTTATTGGTTCAAGGTCACTCAGTTTTCCCAGAGTTGCGCAAATCCAGATGGAAGCAGAATTTGAATCCAGGCGTGCTTAGCTATGAAGCTCACATTATCAGTACACTATAAGACCTTATCTCTGCTTGCCAGAGTTTGTGTTTGGAAGAAATGATCTAAGATCAAACAGAGGTTTCTTTGATCAGCCTGCACAGTTACTTATGTGAGGAATAAAGCAGCAGTCTTCCAGCTCTACAACTTTTGTGTTTCAAGCTGGCATAAAGGGATCTGCATAGCTTGTTTGATTGAATGCTGTCATTCCCGGGATGTTTCCTTTCTCTTTCCCTGTGCTCCTTTCTTCACCACCCTTGTGTTAGAGTCTGCTATTGAAGGAGATGGAAATCAAATGCTTAGACACACAGAAAAATATGGATATGCTATCCACATGACGCTCAGACAAAAATGGCAGGAAATGGAGAAAAGATACTATGGGCAGCCAGGAGTTCCTCTCCTGACACCTCATGGCAGGGAACGGCAAGTGTACACAGTGGTTTGAAGCCTCTTTCTTTCCTTAGATAAATCATTTCAGGAGTGAACTGCATACATTGTTAAAATATCCACTGAGGGGTGGAAAGAATGGCACAGTCTTAAGGGAATTTAAAAGGTCTCTGTTCTCCTGCATTTTAAAGTTAAGCTGGCTGTCTTTGGTGTAGTCTCTTTGGCAGGTCAAAATGTTTATATGTTTTGAAGAAAATGATGTGTGTTCTTCTTTGTAGTTTTGCTAAGCATTTAAAAGCACAAAAGGGGATCTTTTAAAAATGTAACTGCAATTGAAATGCCTAGAGAACAGAAGCGGCAGAAATGGCTAGTGTAGGCCCACTCCAGAGCTTTGAGCATGACGCTCAGACTGAAGGAGGATCAGAAGAACTCACTGGAGTTAACAAAAGCATTCTTTTTTTTTTTTTTTTTTTGAGACAGAGGTTCGCTGTTGTTACCCAGACTGGAGTACAACGGCACAATCTCGGCTCACCACAACCTCCGCCTCCTGGGTTCCAGCAATTCTCCTGCCTCAGCCTCCCGAGTAGCTGGGACTACAGGCGCACACCACTATGCCCAGCTAATTTTTGTATTTTTAGTAGAGACGGGGTTTCACCTTGTTGACCAGGATGGTCTCGATCTCTTGACCTCGTGATCCACCCGCCTCGGCCTCCCAAAGTGCTGGGATTATAGGCGTGAGCCACCGTGCCCGGCCAACAAAAGCATTCTTTATAGAAGCAGAAAAGTGTAAGAAGCTGATAGCCACGCTGGTAGTTAGACACAATATTTGCTGACTCTTTTTCAAATACGTTTTTGATAATAGCTAATGAATCTGGCTAAGGTGGACATTACTTACGGTTGTGAGTTCATTAAAAATGCTCACATCTGTGTGTATATATGCTTCATCAGACGTGCATGTGGACTAAACGCATCAGAAGTCCTGCTAAATGCTCTCAGAATCACATCTATGAGGCGTTCCCACATTTTCAGAACTAAGACCGTGGTGCTTTTCCAGTAAGTTTTATTAAGAAATACAGTAAAGGAGCAGGTTTTTTCATCTTCTGATTTGATGACGTGAACATGCAGACCCACTCGAGAGTTTTAAAGAAAAGCCCAGTGAATTTTAAGACCTAGGCCTCCAGGTTACAATTATTTCTAGAATGTTACATTTTTGTCTTTTCATGTGTTTGTGGTTTCATAAGCAAAATCTCCTGCCCCTACTGTCTCGCTCACCTGCTCCCAGGAAGAGAGAATGCCCTTCCTGTTCACTATGTGTTTGTTATGAGGAAGATGGATGCAGACAGCATCGCCCTCTCGTTTCTGCATTTTCTCTGTCTACCTCCCTTCTCTGCCTTGGGCTTTGTCAGTTCCTTTCTCTCTACACTGCATCTCTTTTAGTTCCAAAAATAGATCATTCAATTTAGGAAGAACAATTAACTGGAAAGAAAAAAAAAATCTCAAGTATGGGGAGGCATTTCAGCTTCTCCATCAGGCATGAAGTAATTGGCAACACCATAGCAGCATCTTTACTGGGGATCCTGTTTCATTCTTAAATGTGAGCTTCAGGAAAATCACGGACTCAGGAAAATCGGACTCACTTTTACAGGCCCCAACACCTCCCTTGTCAGCTCCCAACATGTCACAGCACAATGGCACAGAGAAGACTTTACTGGGATTTCACTAGTATTTGTACTAGATTTGCTCCATGCAGCACCCTTGGATATTCTGCATGATTTCTTACCCAGTAAATATTTATCTTCTCAATACTTTGACCTGTCCCTTGAAACCTTACATGCCTGGAGCATTCTAATAGTGTCAAGGGGGACTTCACTTAACATTGTAGTCATCTTAGGTCGTTTCTCCAGGTGTGATCTTTAGAAACGCCTAAATTAGAATCACTGGGGTCTTCGTTTAAAAAGGCAGATTCCTAGCCTACTTCTCAAACAGAATCTTCGGTGTGATTTTAATGGATTTGAGAAACGCTAACTTAAGGATTCTCCATAAAGCATAGCGTAGTTTAGACAGTTAAAAACCTTTTAAAACAGTAGTTCTGAACGGAGGGGATTTTGTCTTCCAGAGCAAGGTCTATGGATATTTTTGATTGTCAAAGCCAGAAAGGGTGGGCGGGTACCACTGGTTTCTAATGAGTAAATTCCAGGAACAGTGCAAATGTTTTGCAATGCCCTGTTGCCCACCTCTACTTCCCAAAGTCTGCGGTTACAGGTGTGAGCCACCATGCCCAGCCTAAATTTAATTTAATAATTTAAGTCGCCACATGTGGCTTGTGGTAACCATATTAAATAGCAGAAATCTACAGGCTAGACTTTCTCCTTCTACAAAATTTTACACAGTATTTTCCCTTCACCCTCCAAGCCTGCCTTCAGAAGTAACTAGGACTTCCCATTCCTGAGCCTTCCCACGACAAAGAATTATTCAACCCAAAATGTCAATAGCACCGACTTTCAGTCACCCTGCTGTGGAAGGATGCTCATTTCTGATCCCAGTCTGGAATTCCCAGTCACTAGACAGATAAATTCTTAGAGCCACCTCTGAATTCTACTGATAATGAAGCTAAAACAGGCAGTAAGCTATTTATGTATAAGAATAACGTCAACTGAAACACGTGGTCTGGCTTTCTAATGACTCCCTTTGGAAACCGTGCTGATATTATTGGAAGGGGACTGTGAGAGAAAAGGATGTACACGATGACAGAATTGGAAAGAAGAAAATAGAATTGAGACAAGTCAACATATTATGGAGAATGAGAAATGCTTGAATCAATGCTGTCTCATCTAGGGTTCAAGTTTATCTATTCTGTTGAAAGTGTTTAGTTGGTGAGGAAAATGGTCAATGCAGGGCAACAAAAGGCAAGCTGATTTTTAGTGTGGCAACCAGAAAAGGCTCAGGAATGGGAAGTCCTAGTTACTTCTGAAGGCAGGCTTGGAGGGTGAAGGAAAAGTATTGCGTAAAATTTTGTAGAAGGAAAAAGTCTAGCCTGTAGATTTCTGCTATTTAATATGGTTACCACTAGCCACATGTGGCTACTTAATTAATTTAAATTAAATTAAATTTAGGCTGGATGTGGTGGCTCACGCCTGTAATCCCAGACTTTGGGAGGCAGAGGTGGGCAATAGAGTGAGATCCCATCTCAAAAAAAAAAAAAAAGAAAAGAAAAGAAAAAAGAAAGAAAAGAAAAAGAAATTACAAAAAACAGATACAGACTTCAAGAATTCCAGAGATTAGAATTATCAGAACCAAAATATTATATACACACACATACACACAGGTGCATGCACACACACACACACACTTGAATATACATGTATATTTACACACATGTATATACAGCCACATACCACATAGTGATGTTTTGCTCAACGAAAACAGGTTGCACAGGCCAGGCACAGTGGCCCACACCTGTAATTCCAGCACTTTGGGGGCTGAGGCAGGTGGATAGCTTAAGCCCAGGAGTTCAAGATCAGCCTGGCCGACATGGCTGATCATCTCTACTAAAAACACAAAAATTAGCTGGGCGTGGTGGTGCGCACCTGTAACCTTAGCTACTTGGGAGACTGAGGCAGGAGAATTACTTGAACCCAGGAGGCAGAAGTCCTGGCAAGCTGAGATTGCGCCACTGCACTCCAGCCTGGGCGACAGAGCAAGACTCCATCTCAAAAAAAAAACAAAACAAAAACCAGATTGCATGCATGATGGTAGTCCCATAAGATTGTAATGGAGCTAAAAAATACCTAGAGCCTAGTGACAGCATGGCCGTCATGACGCAGCAGCACAATGCAGTACTCGTGTCTTTGTGGTGCTGGTGTAAACAAACCTACTGCCAGTCCTGTGGAAATACAGCTCACACAATTACATACAGTTTATAATAATTGACAATGATAATAAACAACTATGCTAGTGGTTTATGTATTTACTATACTATACTTTTAAGTCATTATTTTAGAGTGAACTTCCGCTAATAATTTTCCAAATTAACTGTTAAGCCCAGGCGTGGTGGCTCACACCTGTAATCCCAGCATTTTGGGAGGCCGAGGCGAGCACATCATGAGGTCAGGAGTACAAGACCAGCCTGGCCAACACAGTGAAACCCCTGTCTCTACTAAAAATACATAAAACTGGCTGGGCGTGGTGGTATGCACCTGTAATCCCAGCTACCTGGGAGGCTGAGGCAGGAGAATTGCTTAAACCCAGAGGCAGAGGTTGCAGTGAATCAAGACCACACCACTGCACTCTAGCCCCGGTGACAGTGAAAGACTCCATCTCAAAAAAAAAAAAAAATTACCTGTTAAACAGCTTCGGGCAAGTCTTTCAGGATGTATTCCAGAAGAAGCATTGCTATTGTAAGAGAGGACAGCTCCCTGTGTATCATTGCCCCTGAAGACCTTCCTGTGGGGCAAGATAAGGAGGTAGAAGACAGTGATCCTGGCCCTGGGTATGCCCAGGGTAATGTGTGTTTTTGTGTCTCAGTTTTTAACAAAAAGTTTAAAAAGAAAAAAAATTAAAAATAGAAAATGTGTATAGAATAAGGACATATAGGAAGAAAATGCTTTTGTACAACTGTATAATATGTGTTTTAAGCTAAGTTTATTACAAAAGAGTCAAAAAGCTAAGAACATTTTTAAAAGTATATAAAGTAAAAAGTCACAGTAAGCTATGGTTAAGTTACTATTGAATAAAGAGATTTTTTGTTTTTTGGGGACACAGTCTAACTCTGTCACCCAGGCTGGAGTGCAGTGGTGCAGTCTTGGCTCACTGCAGCCTCCGGCTCCTGGGTTCAAGCAATTCTCCTGCCTCAGCCTCTCAAATAGCTGGGACTACAGGCACATGCAACCATGCCTGGCTAATTTTTGTCTTTTTGCTAGAGACAGGGTTTTGCTATGTTGGTCAGGCTGGTCTTGAACGCCTGAGCTCAAGCAATCTGCCTGCCTCGGTCTCCCAAAGTCCTGGGATTACAGCCATGAGCCATCATGTCCAGCCTTTTACAAACATTTTTCTTTTAATAGAGACAGGGTCTCACTATGCTTATTGTCCAGGCTGGTGTCAAACTCCTTAGCTCAAGCTATCCTCCAGAGTCAGGCTCCCAATGTGCTGGGATTACAGGCATCGGTCACAGTGCAAGGCAATTTATTTATTATCCTCCATAACTTATAATACAACAGTATTTTAAATGTCCTAACTTCTAAAAAATAATTTATTTTTATTTTATTTTTAGGGGCTTTCTGGCAAAAACAAAACAAACAAACAAACAAAAAAAAAAAAACACAGAAAGAAAGCCTGACAGACAAATTCTAAAAGAGCTGTAACACTACAAAATAATTTTTAAGACAGTAAATTATTTCCAATCTAGAATTCTATCCTCAACCAAACTGTCAATCAAGGATGAGGGCAATAATCATGAATAAATACATATATATATATGGTAGCCAAAAGTTTCCTTCCCATATACTCTGTTAATATTAGGAACTAAACTAAGAAACAGGAAAATTTGGGATCCTGGAAACTGGGGATCCTATCCAAAGGAGGCAAAGATAGTATCCAGGATACAGTAGGGAGGAGTTTCAGGATGTCAGCTTGAAGCCACAGTACAGACTGGAGCAGAAGTATGGAGAGTTCAAAGAAAGACATTTTCAATAAGCAGTTAGAACTACTGGATTACATGGTGCATTTGATCCTGGAACGGTATTTAAAGTTCTGTAAGGTCCGGAAACATCAGTGATAGGTACAAAAAAAACCCAACATTTTTAAAGGACAACTACTAATTGCAGAATTGCTTTTAAGTACAGAGAAACAAAAACATACTATTAGATTACATGACTTAGCTATAAGAAATATTTACATAATTGCTTTTGATTTTACAGGCTCATGGGCAACAAAATAAAAAAAAAAGAAGAAGAAGAAATATTTACATAGTAAGGCCAGGCAAGGTGGCTCACTCCTGTAATCCCAGCACTTTGGGAGGCTGGGAGGATTGCCTGAGCTCAGGAGTTCGAGGGCAGCCTGGGCAAAATGGCAAAACCCCATCTCTACAAAAAATACAAAAATTAGTTGGGTGTTGCGGCACACGCCTGTAGTCTCAGCTACACCTGTAGTCTCAGCTACTCGGGAGACTGAGTTGAGACAATTGCTTAAGCTCGGAGGGTAGACGTTGCACTGAGTCGAGGTTGCACTACCGCTCTCCAGCCTGGGCGACAGAGTGAGACCCTGTCTCAAAAAACAGAAAGAAAGAAGAAAAGAGAAGAGAAAAGAAATAAAGTAAGGATTATGTACTGATTAAAACAGAAAATATGATAGAACTATCTTGGAAGATTGGGGAGGATCATCTGTAAAAAATAGGGGTTGTGTAAGACAGCTAACTCTTCAACTTCTATGGTAGCAAATTAATACAACGTCCTAACTGAAAAAAAAAAAAAAAAGCAATTTAAGTATAAGTGTATTATTTAGAAATAGAAGCCCATTTAAAAAATACCATACCCTCCCTGAGTGGTCACAGGCTCACGTCCGCATTGGCTGCCGGGCTGCTCCCTCCGCCCTCGCGCCTTCCACCTCGTGGCAGTTCGAAATGAAGCTGGAAAGAAACTGGCCCAGCAGATCAAGCAGGAAGTGCGGCAGGAGGTGGAAGAGTGGATGGCTTCAGGCAACAAATGGCCACACCTGAGCAGGATCACGATCTCCGTCAGCGAGAATCCTGCAAGTCCCTCCTACTTCCTCAACAAAATCAGGGCAGCTGTGGGAATCAACAGTGAGACACTAGTGAGACCAGCTTCAATTTCAGGGGAAGAATTGTTGAATTTAATCAATAAACTGAATAATGAAGGTAATGTAGATGGCCTCCTTGTTCAGCTGCCTCTCCCAGAGCATATAGAAAGATCTGGCAACGCTGTTTCTCCAGACAAGGATGTCGATGGCTTTCATGTAATTAATGTAGGGCGAAAGTGTTGGGACCTGTATCCCATGTTACCTGCTACCTCATGGGGTGTGTGGAAAATAATTAAGCAAACTGGCATTCCAGCCCTAGGGAAGAATGTGGTTGTGGCTGGAAGGTCAAATAATGTTGGAATGCCCGTTGCAATGTGACTGAACACAGATGAGGGCATGACCGTCCCAGAGGTGACGCCACTGTTAAAATATCTCATCAGGCCGGGCGCGGTGGCTCACGCCTGTAATCCCAGCACTTTGGGAGGCCGAGGCGGGTGGATCACGAGGTCAACAGATCGAGACCATCTTGGTCAACATGGTGAAACCCCGTCTCTACTAAAATTACAAAAAATTAGCTGGGCACGGTGGTGCGTGCCTGTAATCCCAGCTACTCGGGAGGCTGAGGCAGGAGAATTGCCTGAACCCAGGAGGCGGAGATTGCGGTGAGCCGAGATCGCACCATTGCACTCCAGCCTGGGTAACAAGAGCGAAACTCCGTCTCAAAAAAAAAAAAAAAAAAAAAAAATATCTCATCAATGTACTCCCGAAGAGCAGTTGAAGAAACATACAATTCTTGCAGATACTGTAATATCTGCTGCAGGTATTCCAAATCCGATCACAGCAGACATGATCAAGGAAGGAGCAGCAGTCACTGATGTGGAAACAAATAGAGTTCACGAAAAACTACATGTTAATCGTTTTCCTAAGCTACCTTTTTGAGGCTTAGTCATTGGGAAAATGTTTAGGATTGTTCCTTGCTGTTAGTCCTCATTTTATGCATGTTACCCTGCAGTAAGTTCTCCCATTTTAGCTTTCTAAGATTGAAAGGCTTCTATTATACGTTATTCATGTGTATTGTCATATTTGTCTTTTGCTATATACTGTAACTTCATTGTTAAATTTTCATATTGTATAGTTTCTTTGGTGTATCTTAAAGCCTATTTTTGAAAAACAAACTTGGCTTGATAATCATTTTGGCAGCTTGGGTAAGTATCCATCTTACTTTTCCACCAAAGAACTGTCAGCTGCCGCCTGCTTTTCTGTGATGTACCCTGTTGACTTTTCCAGAAAATTTTTAAGAGTTTGAGTTAATATTGAATTTAATCAGACTTTCTGAATCAAGGTTCTTTTTTTTTCTTTTTTAATAAAAACCAAAATCAAAACAAAGTACCATAAAAGTAGCTTGTATTGCAGGTTATTGTTGCCTCTGGGAAATGGGGTTCACGTGAAAAGGAACAAACAAAGGACTAATGCTCTTGGTTAAATGCATTAAAGTAGAATTGGACTTTTTTTTTTTTTTTAGACGGAGTTTCACTCGTGTTGCCCAGGCTGGAGTACAATGGTGTGATCTTGGCTCACTGCAACCTTTGCCTCCTGGGTTCAAGTGATTCTTCTGCCTCAGAATCCCGAGTAGCTGCCCCATCACACCTGGCTAATTTTGTACTTTTAGTAGAGACAGGGTTTCTCCCTGTTGGTCCAGCTGGTCTGGAACTCCAACCTCAGGTGATCCGCCCGCCTCGGCCTCCCAAAGTGCTGGGATTACAGGCGTGAGCCACTGCGCCTGGCCAGACATCTTAAACTATGTAAATATTACTTTGATTTAAAAAAAAAATAAAAATAAAAATCACAGGCTGGACTCTGTGGCTCATGCCTGTAATCCCAGCACTTTTCAGAAGCCAAGGCTGTGGATTGCTTGAGCCCAGGAGATGGAGACCAGCCTGAGCAACATGGCAAAACCCATCTCTACCAAAAACAAAAAAATTAGCCCAGCATGGTGGCTCACACCTGTACTTCCAGCTACTTGAGGGCTAACACGGGAGAATCGCTTAAGTCCAGGGAGGTGGAGGCTGCAGGGAGCACCAGCAAGCCACTACACTCCAGCTGGGGTGACAGAGTGAGACCCTGTCTCAGAAAAATAACAATAAATGTAAAAAATATAACCAATTGCGGTGGCTCATGCTTGTAATACCAGCACTTTGGGAGGCTGCTGCGGTGGGTGGATCATCTGAAATCAGGAGTTTGAGACCAGCCTGGCTAACATGGTGAAACCCTGTCTCTACTAAAAATACAAAAAAACATTAGTTGGGCATGATGGCGCGTGCCTGTAATCCCAGCTACTTGGGAGGGCCGAGGCTGGAGAATCGCTTGAACCCGGGAGGTGGAGGTTGCAGTGAGTGGAGATTGTGCCATTGCACTCCAGCTTGGGCAACAAGAGTGAAACTCGGTCTCAAAAAAAAAAAAAAAAAAAAACAATGCAACCAATTTAAGACATGATGCACCGATAGCAAGGAGTCCTTCCAGAAATTTCTTGGAATTCCAAATATATGCTTTCGTTCCAAGGCAGTAATTACCTTGGCATTCTTTAGGTGGCAATCAGACTTTTCAGTAGTATATATTTCAGTGAACTCAAGAAATATACTAATCTTAGTAAACCTTAATAAGTCATATTGAGGTAGGCATGGGACTCAACTCCAGAGGCAGGCCTAGGACATCCACCCAAACTGAGAACTTGCTAAAACAGGGACGAGGCAGAAGCAGCTTCCCACAAGACATGTGCACCAATGTGCCACGTCAGTTTACCATTGCCGTGGCAACGCTGGGAAGTCACCACCCCTTTCCATGGCAACGACCTGACAACCCAGAAGTTATCACCCTTTTCTAGAAACTTCTGTATAAATCACCCCTTAATTTGCATGTAATTAAAAATGGGTATAAAGGAGTGCAGCACTGCCTCTGAGCTGTTCCTTTGGTCACACTGCCTATGGGGTAGCCCTGCTCCACAAGGAGCAGTACCTCTGCTGCTGCTGGGCACTGCAGTTGTTTCTATTTGGCCCTCATAGTTTATTAGTTACTCATTTGATACTAGACTGAATATTATAGTTTCTTGGAAAAAATGGAGTTTTTCATTGACAGAATTTATTAATATGCATAGTTCCCTTCACTTTCAATCACACCCAACCGCCCCACCTCTTCCTGGGGCTATCAATATGTATTTATGTGTCTTTTTTTTTTTTAAGAAACAGAGTCTCTGTCTTGACCCAGGCTACAGTACAGTGTACCATAGCTCACTGTAACCTTGAATTTCGAGGCTCAAGAGGTTCTCCCACCTCAGCCTCTGGAGTGGCTAGGACTACAGGCTTGCGCCACCATTCCTAATTGTTTTTATTTTTGTAGCTATGAAGTCTCGCTATGTTGCCCAGGTTGGTTTCAAATTCCTGGTCTCAAGCAATCCTCGCACCTGAGCCTGCCAATCTTTTACTTAGTATTTGCTTTTTAAAACCTGCCTTGAGAATATATTACCCATTTATTCTGGGTTCTAGGCATTGCTTGATTATTGATCATAACTCTTCAAGGTTGGTATATATTTAGTTTTTTGACAAGAGTCTCACTCTGTCACTTAGGCTGGACTGCAATGACTGGACTTTGGTTCACTGTAACCTCCGCCTCCCAGGTTCAAGTGATTCTTCCGCCTCAGCCTCCCAAGTAGCTGGGATTACAGGTGTCCACCACCATACCCAGCGAATTTTTGTATTTCTAGTAGGCTTGGGTTTCACCATGTTGGTCAGGCTGGTCTTGAACTCCTGACCTCAAGTGATCTGCCCACTTCAGCCTCCCAAAGTGCTGGGATTACAGGCGTGAGCCACCACGCCTGGCCTATATTTATTTTATAGAAGAGAAAATGGAGGCTCTGGAGTTTAGTACATTGAACTGTGTCCCCAAAAAGATATGCTGCAGTCCTTACCCCCCGTACCTGTGAATGTTTTCGTAAATACAAACATGCTAAAATTAGGCCATACTGGATTAGGTTAGACCCTAAATTCAATGACTAATGTCCTAAATCCAGTGACTGGAGAGGAAGATTTGGAGACAGAGATTCAGACAAAAATGACAGTGTGAAAATGAAGGCAGAAATCGGAGTGATACACCTATTACCAAGGTGTGCCAGCTGCTTCCAGAAGCTATGGAGAGTCAAACAATGTTCTTCTCACAAGCTTTCAGAGGGAGCGTTTTCTTGCTGAAACCTTGAACAAATTATTTTGAGCAATTCAGTTCATGATAATGTCGTGGCAGCCCTTGGAAACTAATACTAGGGGCTGAATAATTTTCTCTATGATCACACAAGTAGGAAGTATCGAGGCTCACATGGAAACATTTTCTTAGACCACCATTGGACCAGATCAATTCTGCCCAGGTATAGTGCCTGGAACATCTAATGAAAGGTCCAAGCCGGGCGCGGTGGCTCACGCCTGTAATCCCAGCACTCTGGGAGGCCGAGGAGGGTGGATCACGGGGTAGAGAGATCGAGACCATCCTGGTCAACATGGTGAAACCCGTCTCTACTAAAAATACAAAAATTAGCTGGGCACAGTGGTGCGTGCCTGTAATCCCAGCTACTCAGGAGGCTGAGGCAGGAGAATTGCCTGAACCCAGGAGGCAGAGGTTGTGGTGAGCCGAGATTGCACCATTGTACTCCAGCCTGGGTGACAAGAGCGAAACTCCGTCTCAAAAAAAAAAAAAAAAAAAAAGAAAGGTCCAACTACCCTAGACTCTTTAGTTTTTCTACAAGTCTCCTAAGTACTGCTGCGGTCTCAGGAAATGAAGAAGTCCGTGATACAGTCTCTGCTTCTAAGTAAGACCACCATTGCAAAATTATAACTCAGAATTTTTACAATGAAAGAGATCTCTGACCTAACCAACTCCATCTTGCTTCTAACCTCCAAGCTGTCCTTGTTCCTCCCTGGGTGTAGGCTGAACTAGCTTTGGGAGGAATTTAGTTTATAGTTTATAGTTTGAAACAAAGACAGCTTTTTCCCAAGACAAACCCCATCCTGCCTGGGGACTAGACTGCCTTTGCAGGGCTAACAAATTAACCCAAGATTAGAAATTATGATTTACGAGTCATGCAGCTGGAGGCTACAAGATCTGACCCTCCCCAAATTGTTCCTGGAGATAACCTCACTGTTGCAAAGCCTAAGATCAGTGCTTGAGATATTTTACAGACCCTGCACTTGATGGATCAGCCGGCACCACACAGATGGATAAACTGGCTCATCTGATCCTGTGGCCTCCACCTAAAAAGTGACTCAGAGCAAGAGGACAGCTTTGACTTCATCTGTGATCAACCAGTCAGCACTCCTGACTCATTGGCCCCCTACCCACCAAATTATTCTTAAAAACTCCCATCCCCTGAATTTCTGGCGAGATTGGTTTCATTAATAATAAAATTCCAGGCTCCCGCACAGCCGGCTCTGTGGGAATAACTCTTTACTGCAATTTCCCTGTCTTGATAAATCCGCTCTGTCTAGACAGAGAGCAAGGTGAACCTGTTGCGTGGTTACACAAGGAGCTCACAATATTTTATGCTGTTCCTGAACAACAGCACAAGAAAACATTATCCCCTATTATAGCTGCCTTGATATTACCACCATGCTATTCTTTCTAGGTATAGATATCTAGTTTAGTTTCCCTTTATTTTTCAGCAGTTTACAATAATTATTCCTGTCTTTTGGCTTAAAATGTTTCTATTAAAAATATAGCGGTTGGTCTTACTGTCGAAAGTAATGTATGTATTTTCTCTGACTGTTTTTGAGATTTTTTTTTCCATTAGTTTTCAGCAGTTATACCATCATGTACCTAGGTGTGGTTTTAATTTAATTCATCCTGATGGAAGTTCAGAGATATTCTTGGATTTTTGGCTTGATGCCTTTCATCAACTTTGGAAAATATTCAGTCAATTTCTTTTCAGGTAACAGTGTGTTTCCTAATTTCTCTCTCCTCCCCTTCAGGACTTCTATTACAAGTATATTAAACCTTGCCGTGTTCTATTTATTTTGTAGGGTCTTTCATTTCCACCTCTTTTCTCTCTGCTACAGTCTCTACTGACCTATCTTCTGGCTTCTTAGTGCTCCCTTCAGCTCTCTGCTTTCCTAGTAAACTTTTTTTTTTCCAAGAGGCAGAGTCTTACTTTGTTGCCTGAGCTGGAGTTGCAATCACAGCTCACTGCAATCTTGAACTCCCAGGCTCAAACAATTCTCCCACCTCAGCCTCCAGAGTAGCTAGGACCACAGGTGAGTGCCACCATGCTCAGCTAATTTTTTTATTTTAGAGATGGGTTCAGTCTGTCGCCCAGGCTGGTGTCAAACTC